GGTCTTTTCTGGTTCCATACAATTGTTAGGATTATTTGTTCCAGCTCTGTGAAAAATGTTGATGATATTTGTATAGGGCTTGCATGAATGTGTAGATTGCTCTGGGTAGCATAGACATTTTAACAATATTTGTTCTTCCAATCCATGAGCATGGAGTGTTTTTCCATTTCTTTTTTTTTTTTAAGATTTTATTTATTTATTTAATTGACACAGAGAGAGAGAGAGAGAGAGACAGCGAGAGAGGGAACACAAGCAAGGGGAATGGGGGAGGGAGAAGCAGGCTTCCCGCCAAGCAGAGAGCCCAATGCGGGGCTCGATCCCAGGACCCCGGGATCATGACCTGAGCCGAAAGCAGTCACTTAACCAACTGAGCCACCCAGGCACCCCTGTTTTTCCATTTCTTTGTGTCATCTTCTATTTCTTCCGCAGGTGTTCTATGGTTTTCAGAGTGCAGATCTTTTCCCTCTTTGGTACGGTTTATTCCTAGGTATCTTATGGGTTTTGGTACAGTTGTAAGTGGGATCGATTCCTTGATTTCTCTTTCTGCTGCTGCATTAGTGGTGTATAAAAATGCAACATATTTTGTATCCTGCAACTTTGCTGAATTCATGTATCAGCTCTAGCAATTTTTTGGTGGTCTTTTGGGTTTTCTACATAGAGTATCTTGTCCTCTGTGAATAGTGAAGGTTTGACTTCTTCTCTGCCAATTTTGATATCTTTACTTCTTTTTGTTGTCTGATTGCTGAGGCAAGGACTTCCAGTACTGTGTTAAATAACAATAGTGAGAGTGGACCTCCCTGTCTTGTTCCTGACTTTATAGGAAAGGCTCTCAATTTTTCCCCATTGAGGATGAAAGTAGCTGTGTCTTTCGTATATGGCCTTTATGATGTTGAGGTATGTTCCCTCTAGCCCTACTTTGTTGGGGGTTTTTATCAAAAATGGATGCTTTACTTTGTCAAATGCTTTTTCTGCATCTACTGAGAGGATCATATGGTTCTTATCCTTTCTTTTATTAATGTGGTGTATCACTTTGATTTGCAAATACTGAACCACCCTTGCAGCCCAGTAATAAATCCCACTTAATTGTACTGAATAATTCTTTTAATATACTGTTGGATTCTATCTGCTAGTATCTTGTTGAGAATTTTTGAATCCATGTTCATCAGGGATACTGGCCTGTAATTCTCCTTTTTAGTGGGGTCTTTGTCTGGTTTTGGAATCAAGATAATGGTGGCCTTGTAGAATGAGTTTGGAAGTTTCCCTTCCATTTCTATTTTTTGGAACAGTTTGAAAGAATAGGTATTAACTTTTCTTTAAATGTTTGGTAGAATTCCCCTGGGAAACCATCTGGCCCTAGACTTTTTTTTGTTGGGAGATTTTTGATTACGGATTCAATTTCTATACTGGTTATAGGTCTGTTCAAATTTTCTATTTCTTCCTGTTTCAGTTTTGACAGTTTATACGTTTCTAGGAATTTATCCATTTCTTCCAGATTGCCCAATTTTTTGGCATAAAATTTTTCATAATATTCTCTCATAATTGTATTTCTGTGGTCTTGGTTGTGATCTCTCCTCTTTCATTTGTGATTTTATTTATTTGGGTCCTTTCTCTTTTCTTTTTGATAAGTCTGGCGAGGGGTTTATCACCTTTATTAATTCTTTCAAAGAAACCAGCTCCTAGTTTCATTGTAGGTTAGGGTTTTCTTTTCCCTTGCTGCTTTAGGGATTCTTTCCTTATCTCTGTATTTTGCAAATTTTATTACAATATGTCTTGGTGTTGGCCTGCTTTTGTTGATTTTGATGGGAGTTCTCTGTGCCTCCTGGATTTGGATGTCTCTTTCCTTCCCCAGATTACAGAAGTTTTCGGCTATAATTTGCTCAAATAAACTTTCTGTCTCCTTTTCCTTCTCTTCCTCTTCTGAGACTCCTACGATACGAATGTTATTACACTTTACGGAGTCACTGAGTTCCCTAAGTCTATATTTGTGATCCAATATTTTTCTTTCCGTCTTCTTTTCAGCTTATTTTCCATAATTTTATCTTCTACATCACTTAAATTTGTTTCTCTGCTTCTTCCATCCTTGTGGCCATTACATCCAGTTGGTTTCACATCTCAGTTAGAGCATTTTTTATGTTGGCCTGACTAGGTTTTAGGTCTTTTATCTCTGTGCTAAGGGACTCCCTGGTGTCTTCTACCCCTTTTCTAAAGCACAGCTACCTATCCTTAGGATAGTTGTTCTAAATTCTGGTTTAGGCATATTACTTATATCTGTTTTGATTAGATCCCTGGCCATGACCTCTTCTTGTTCTTTCTTTTGGGGTGAATTCCTCTGTCTTGGCATTTTGTCTAGGTCCCTGTCTTCTGTGTGTTATGAAAGCCTGTTACGTTTCCTGCTCCTGAGAGTAATGGCTATATTAAGAAGAGGTCCCCAGGGCCTGGCACTTCAGGAAGTGTTTTTGGTGTGTGCTGTGTGCACTCTGCTGTTCAGGCGGGTGGGGCTTGGTATAATAGGCTCAAGCCTCCACTGTCGGCAGTGTGCTGTTGTGGGAGGGGAGGGGTGGCGGAGCTCACACCACCGCTGTTCAGGAAGTACTCACAGAAGAGTGAACAATCTCCCCTCATGTGTCCCAGGCATCTCTTAGACCCCTGCTTTCATCCTGTGTCCGAGCCATCTGCTCACCTGACAGGGCCACTGCTCCTGTGTTTTGTCTCAAGTCCACTGGCTGGGTTTTAAAACTCCAAATTTTAGGAAGCCAGCGAGGCACGGACCCATGCTGATCCTCTGGGGGAGAGTCTCGCTGCACTGTGGCTGTGCCAATTTGTGCTAGAAGGGCAGTCACATTAATGCACAGGTGCTTGGAGTTAATGGTAAAGTGCAGCCAAAAGCAGTTGGTTAAGCATCTGACTCCACTGCAGCTCAGGTCATGATCTCAGGCTTGTGAAATCAAGCCCCACATCAGCTCCATGCTCAGCGGGGAGTCTGCTTGAGATTCTCTCTCCCTCTCCCTCCAGCCCCCCGCCACTCTCTCTCTCTCTCAAATAATCTTTAAAAAAAAATACAGTTGTATGGGTATAAAAATTCTAAAAATATGAAACACATAATGACAGAAATGGCTTATAACTAAATAAGAATCCATGAGTCCATTTTTTTTAAGATTTTATTAATTTATTTAATAAATAAACACAAGCTGGGGGAGAGGCAGAGAGAGAAGACTCCCCACTGAGCAGAGAGCCCAACATGGGGCTCAATCCCAGGACTCTAGGATCATGAACTGAGCCAAAGGCAGAGGCTCAACTCACTGAGCCACCTAGGTGCCCCCCATGAATCTATTCTTATAATAAATAAAAAAAAAAAAGGAGATGGAAATTTCAGCTTGTAAATATAAGTGGAATGAGGGAGTTAAAAATCACCATTCATAATCATCACAGTAATAACCGATTTAAAAAAGAATCATTAATAATTCTAAAATTAGTAGGTAAAAGTTTGATGAGGAATAGGACATTTATATAATCTCAAAATGTCCTCACAAATTATTTGTTACAAAAGAAAAAAACTAACTTTACAGTGGAGAAACTTGGCAGACTCTATTTTTTTTAAGATTTTATTTATTTATTTGAGAGAGTGAGCAAATGAGAGAGACAGAGATAGAGACAGAGCATGAGCAGGGGAAGAGAGAGAAGCAGACTCCCCACTGAGCAGAGAATCCACTGCAGGACTTGATCTCAGGATGCTGGGATCATGACCTGAGCCAAAAGCAGACACTTAATCGACTGAACCACCCAGGTGCCCCTTGGCAGATTCTAGTTTAACCAAAGGTTCAAACTTAACAACATCACCAATAATGAGATAAACTGACATCTATGCCCACTGATATGATGCACTAAGAGGGATACATATTACTTCTGTGGCATTTCTGCCAAAATGCAAAACCTGGATCTGATCATGAGGACAGACTATACAAATGGGAGGATGCTTTACAAAATAACTAGTATTCTTCAAAAATGTCAGTATCATAAAAGTTTTTTTTTTGAAGTTAAGAAACTATTATCGGTTAAATGAGAGTATAGGGACATAACAACTAAATCAAAGCGTGATCCTATATTGGACCAGTTGAAATGGAATGGATAACCTGTTTAACTATCTAAAAATACTACTGATAGTGTTCTGCCATCTGAGAGAACCAAAAAAATTAAAGTATATTAAGAACAGTATAAGTAAAAAAGCAAGCAACAATTAACTCTAAGAAAAACAAAAAAAAATGGTACTATAAAGGAAAAATACTTGACTGAACAGTAAGCAATATTCACATACTTAACAATGCAAACACTATTAATTACTAAAAATAAGATTTTATTAAAAATACAGGGATAGAGGAAATGGTCAGGAAAGTGGTATAAATAAACTAATAGGAAAATCAACAGGATTTTTTTTAAAGATTTTATTTATTTATTTAACAGAGAGAGACACAGTGAGAGAGGGAACACAAGCAGGGGGAGTGGTGGAGGGGGAAGCAGGCTTCCCACGGGGCAGGGAGCCCGATGCGGGGCTTGATCCCAGGACCCTGGGATCATGACCTGAGCCGAAGGCAGACGCTTAATGACTGAGCCACCCAGGCGCCCCTCAACGGGATTTTTCTTAATGGGAAATCAACTGAGAATGTCTAAACTTAATAAATCAAGAAATAACAGTATATTATTTAGAAATACAGAGGTTAATATCGGAAGCAATAGCTAAAAGTTGAAAGCATTTACCTCTGAGGAGCAGCAATGAAGGGTGGAGAACTGCTGTTTTTTATTTTTAAGCTTTTGAGTATTAACTGAACATTTAACTATGTGTGTGTATATTATTTTAATTTACAAAATTAAAAATCATTTATTTTTAAACAAGGAAGAAACATCGTCAAAAATAGCTGACAGAGAGAAGAAAGCAAAATGAAATATTTACTGAAAATACCATAGTACCAAAAAAAAAACAAGTACCATCGTACAAATAAGGATACACAGGCCCTTTATTTCTCAATAGTCCTCGAGCAATAGTGTATCATAGCACAGAACTATTCATTTACATAAGGAAATAATATCCAAACAAGTTGAACTGTTTTCAGTCTACTCTGTTTCATAGGCAAAGAATGATGTATTTTGGAAATATTCTCATCAAAAATGCTTAAAATAGTAAAAATTCATCACCTCAAGGAATAAGCTTTGGATATCTGGAATATAAACATGTTAGTTCCTAATAAGGATTACTGAGACACTAATTATCAATTTCAGACTTCTGTCTTCTTCATTTCAAGAGCCATCACACCAGTTTTCTTTAGACTGCCTGGGCTGGTTTGGGCCAAGATCTAGTCAATATGTAGTCTGACAGTGATGTGGGTAAATAAGATAGAGGAATGAAGAAAAACAGAGAGTCCCAGCCAGCTGAATATCGAGTGCGGGGATGCACAGATGTCAAAGCATGTTCCATGCAGTCAGTGACCAGGTTCAGGTTTGTGCTACATTTCAACAGCCCTTGTTTAACACCATCGTAATCTGTATACAAAAAGAGAAATGGTGGTCAGCAATCTTATCCCTTGTATTTTTTTTTTTTTAAATTTTTTTTTTTTTTTTTTGAGAGAGACAGAGAGAGAATGAGTGGTGGGAGAGGCAGAGCGAGAGGGAGAAGCTGACTCGGAGAACAAGAAGCAGACTTCCCCCTGAGCAGGGAGCCCAATGTGGGGCTCGATCCCAGGACCACAGGATTATGACCTGAGCCACGGCAGATGCTTAACTGACTGAGCCACCCAGGTGCCCCAATCTTATTCCTTGTATTTTAATGTTAAGATCCTGTTATACCCAGTCACAGAAGTCTAACTACATTTAATTTCTACAAGAATGAGGCTGATCAGATCTATGCTTCCCAGTGATAGCCACTAGCCAAATGTAGCTGTTGAACACTTAAAATTTAGCTAGTATGACTAAAAACCTGTACTTTTAAATGTTAATTAATTTTAATTTTAAAACTCAAATCCATTACTGGAAAATGTTTTAGTATTTTTGGAGTTGTCCATGGATGAAAATAATTTACAGTGCTATCCAACAGAAATATGAGAGCCACATATATGATCTTAAATTTTCTAGTTGTCACTTTAAAAAAAGGAAACAGGTGAAATTAATTAATTTTAATAATACAGTTATTTAATCCTACATATCCAAAATATTATCATTTCAGTACTTATTATCAATACAAAGTTGTTAATAAGGTATTTTTTATTCTTATAAGTAATGCTGGTGGCAACTCTAAATTTTCTTAATGTACAGATGAAGTATTTCCTAGGAAAATTTAGCATCCAAGTTTAGATATGCTGTAAGTGTAAAATACACACCAATTCTCAAAGACTAATAAGAAAAATAATAAAAAATACCTTACTAACAATTTTATATTGATAATAACTCTATGAACAATTTCAACTCCCTTCATTTTTTTTTTTAAAGATTTTATTTGTCAGAGAGAGAGCAAGAGAGCGTGAGCACAAGCAAGGGGAGTGGCAGGCAGAGCAGGCTGAAGGAGAAGCAGGCTCCCCACTGAGCCCAATATGGGACTCAATCCCAGACCTCTGGGATCATGACTTGAGCTGAAGGCAAATGCTTAACCAATGAGCTACCCAGGTGCCCCTCAACTCCTTTTAAATCATGAAATATATATATCCTTTTATATCTATATATACTTTGATGTATAGTCACTATAATAAATTCAATTTCCCTTTTAATTTCTACTGTCAAACTATATGTATCCAGAAGGGGGAAAAATTCCCTAATACCCAGTTTAAAACCCTAGATGGGAAAGAGTTTACAACTATGGCTGGCCCTCTGGCATGTTGGGAACTGTAGTTCCCTAGCTTGCTATGAGTTCTGAGAGGCTCAGGCACCATTTTGTGCTAGCTTTTTCTTGATCCAGTTTTTCTCCCCTCTGCTATCGGTGACCCTCTTAGGCCTGATGCACCCCGAAGACAGTGCTGTAGGTTGGGAGTCTTCTGTCTGCACTTCCATCTGCCTTTCTTTCTCGGGACTACAGTATCACTCAAAGCCAGTGACAGAGCCGCTGCTACCCACCCATCACAGGTCCCTTTGTGAAAGGAGAGCTGCTCCCTTTGGCCTTGGCAAGCTGCTGACTCCTTTGTGTGAAGAAAAAGCATCACTGCCCCCAGGGAGATGGAACCCCACACCAACGTGCATGACTTACTTCTATGAAAAAGACTGCTTTGCCTCCACCCCCAAACTGCCTCCTCTTCCAGGTCATAAGAATGCCATTCTTACAAGAAATTGAACCATCCAGGGGCGCCTGGATGGCTCAGGTCATGATCCCAGGGTCCTGGGATCGAGTCCCACGTTGGGAACCCTGCTCCGCGGGAAGCCTGCTTCTCCCTCTCCCACTCCCCCTGCTTGTGTTCCCTCTCTCGCTGTGTCTCTCTCTGTCAAATAAATAAGTAAAAATCTTTAAAAAAAGAAAAAAAAGAAAGAAATTGAACCATCTCACTCCCATGAAGCTCCTGAGGGCTGCACATGGGGTCCAGTCTCTGGGCACAGCCAATAAAGCGCTGCAAAGCTGGTCCTCACCCACTTTCCCCTGCCCACACATACCCTCTCTCCTCCCACAGTAAGACATGGAGTTTGTGCCTGGGCCCTTTGTTACCAAAAGGGTAGACAATACTGAAGCCTGTACTTCAGTTGTGCGGGCCTCCCACACCAGCCCCACCAAACTACAGAGGGGCACACCCAGAGGTTCTGGGCCTCTAACCATGTAATACCTCCCTAGCGCTCATGTGGCCTTGGCCCTAGGCTGTCCATATAACCTCTTCCTCAGCCATGACAGCCATCACCAAGCCAACCATGAGGGCACTGGGACCTTCCCAAACCCCTCCTGTCCTGGGAAGGCTTTGTTTAAGGAGCTTTGTTCTCAGAGGACCTGTTCATCATTCTTCACCAACCCTCTTTTCCCCTTCTCAGGCAAGGTTAGCCATTATCCTATCCCAAGAAAAGCTCACGGGTATCAAAAAACTTCTGTCCATAGGCTTCCTTAATATGCACAGGGACTTCTTCCCAGGCTTGCTTTAGTTTCTCTAAGCACCGCTGTGATTCTGTCATTCCGGTTCTGAAGTAGCCAGGTTCAACTATGCTGATTTTCACCCCAAAATGTTGAAGCTCACGCCTGAAAATAAAAACCCCTGAGTTAACTCTTTTGCTTGGAAGACACAATTTCAATGCTCTCAGGGAGGAAAACAAAACAAGTGTATAAAAACATCTCTACTGAATATTTTAAAGGATAAAGAAATGGAGAGGAAAAGAAAAAAAATTTTTTAATATCCCTAGGTCCAAAAATTGGGACAGGATTACACAAACTACCATAACCATTCAATTCTACATCCACTCTTTTCACAGTTACTGAGTCCCTACCATGTGTTGGACTGTAGAGCCATGCAGAATACAAGGAAGAATCAGGAAAGTTAGCATTTTTATGGCAGCTACTGTGCTAAGCTTCTTACATGCACATCTCAAAAAATTAAGGCTCAGCCTCAAAACATTCACAGTGGATGAATCCGACAAGTAAGCAAATAATTGTAACACAACTCAGAATTATAACGGAGAGGTATTCAAGGGGCTACATATGTAGACAGGAGGAGGCAGACAGATTTTCTGAGGGAGTCAGGGAAGGCTTCAATGAGGAGAGAATGTTTCAGCTGAGGCTTGAAGGATAAAGAGGAAAATTCTGAGTGAAGAAAGGGGAAGAGAGAGCAGAATACCAGGTAGTGGGAACTGGACCTTCAAGAGCACGGGACTCTGAAGAATTACCATGTATTCAAAGACTACAAGAGACCATTAATGGAATATGAGGTGGCCATGAAAATTACAAGTCATTGGTCATTCTAGAATATTCAGGTTAGTTCAACAAACAGTTCCAAAATCCTTCTCAGGGGCTGGGTATGTACCAGGCACTGTGCTAAGCGCTGCCTTCACCAAGTGAAATAAGATGCCGTTGTGTCCCACAGGAGAGGTATACTCCAGGTGTTTAGGGGACAGTGATGAGGGGTGTTCCCTAATCTAGAAGTTGACGTGGCCTCACTGGAGAAGGTGAAGCCCAAGCTGATGTCAAGGAGAAATGTTTGAAATAATGGTCCAGAAGAAGGTAAAACACAAAGCATCATGACCCTCTAAAGCGGCGAGTGGTTCTCAAAGTGTGGTCCCCAGATAAATGGCAACATCAGCATCTGGGAGCCTGTTAGAAATACAAATTATTGGACTCTAGTCCAGATTTATTAAGTCAAACTGGGGGGTGAGACCCAACAATCTGCATGAATAATCCATCCAGCTGGCTCTGATGCATCCTAGAGGTTGAAAACCACTTTTCTAAAGGAAAAGCCTCCCTTATCAAAGCAAAATCTAAAACCTTCCATGGTGGAGCCTCAGAGACTCTCCAGGTGCCCATATGTGCTGGAGAAGAGAGAGGGCCATGCAAGCCAGTGGCGCCTCTGCCCTAAAATTCCACTTCCCCTTGTAGCTTCCTCACGGTGATTCCCATCACACCAAGACACCTGCATTCCCTTTAAAACTCCAGCTCATAAGTGGGACAGAACTTCCTTTCCCTATTCAGCCTTAGCACAATTAAAGCACATGAGAATTTTCTAAAGGAATCTGTGATTTGAACATTGGAAGGACATTCTTTACTCCTGGTCTGAGAATGAGTCAAGGGGTCTGAGACACCAGTCGTGAGTGGTGGTAAATCAGCAGGCAGCAGCCCCATGGAGGCAGACAGAAGGTCAATTAGGCTGGAAGCCAAGCAAGGTGCCTGCCACATGGTGACAACTCATATGACTTCCTCAATTATTTCCCTATTCCCTTCCTAGGCAGATAATACAATATGCATATTATAAGAGACATCTATTAGTCATGGCACGTGGTAGGCTATATAATGGCCCCCAAAGATACCAGGTCCTAATCCCTGGAACCTATAAATGGCACCTTATGTGACACTTTGCAGTTGTGATTAAATTAAGGATCTTGAGACAGGGAGATTATGCTAGATAATTTGGATGTGTAATCACAACTATCTTTTTAAGATTTTATTTATTTATTTGAGAGAGACAGAGATAGCAAGAGAAGCATGAGCAAGGAGGAGAGGGAGCAGCAGACTCCCTGCTGAGCAGAGAGCCCAATGCAGGGCTTGATCCAAGGACCCTGGGATCATGACCTGAGCCAAAGGCAGACACTTAACCGACTGAGCCACCCAGGCACCAGCAATCACAGCTGTCTTTATAAGAGAGACAGAGGCAAATTTGAAGACCCATAGAGGAAAAGAAAGCAATGTGAACTTAGGGGCAGAGACTGGAGTGATGTAGCCACAAGCCAAGGAATGCTGACAGCCCCCAGAAGCTGGAAGAGGCGCAGAACAGATTCTCCCCTAGAGCCTTCAGAAGGAACCTGGCCCTGTCAACAATTTGATTTTGGCCCAATAACACAGATTTCAGGCTTTGGCCTCCAGAGCTGAGACAGAATAAATATGTGTTGTTTTCAGACACTGTAAATCATAGCAGCCATGGGACGCCTGGCTGGTTCAGTTGACAGAGCATACAACTCTTGATCTTGGCGTTGTGAGTTCGAGCCCCAAGCTGGGTGTGGAGATTACTTAAAAAAATAAAATCTTAAAAAAGAAAAATTACAGCAGCCATAGGAAGCTAATACACGGTGCCTAAAACATTCACAGCTCATTCCCAAGTGTGAAACTGCCCTAAAGTCAGTTCCTGCTAAACGGGGAATCTGTGCAGCAATATTTTGTGCCATATGACTACCCCATCATGTCCCCAGCTAACTGGACCAGAGACGGTACTTGGTGGGAGGAGAGCCCTGCTTAAGGACTGGAGAGCAGCTCTGCCTGTTATTACCTGTGTTGTGACCATGGTGACTTACTAACCTCTGCACCCCTGTTTCCTCACACATACAATAATGATAAAAATAATACCTTCCTCATTGGGTTGCTATGAAAATTAAATGACTTGTGAGATGTAAAATACTCGCAACAGTAACTGGCACATAATAAGTGCACAAAAATGTCACAGAACAGGTCTCCTGACACACACAGAAAATAAACACAGCTAACAGAGTCCTCCCTCTTAGGAAGGAAAAGGTAAAGGGAAATATAAAAAGGAAGCAGCAGATAGAGCTACACAAAGCTGAAACAGTGCATGAAAAAAAGCCAGGAGGTAGAGGCAGGGCCATTATGGGCCATGGCAAACTGAAGTTCTAAGAAAAGAAGTTCTCAGATAAAGAAGAGATATACGGGGCGCTCAGTCGTTAAGCGTCTGCCTTCAGCTCAGGTCATGATCCCAGGGTCCTGGGATCGAGCCCCGCATCGGGCTCCCTGCTCAGCGGGAAGCCTGCTTCTCCCTCTCCCACTCCCCCTGCTTGTGTTCCCTCTCTCACTGTGCCTCTCTCTGTCAAATAAATAAAATCTTTAAAAAAGGAAGGAAAGGAAGGGAAGGAAGGGAAGGAAGGGAAGGAAGGGAAGGAAGG